TATGGTTCCAACACGGAAACGCTTGTCGCGTAAAAGTTGATTGTAAACGTGTTAGTGCATGTAAATTCATTATAGTTTGCTTCAATTTATGAACACAAAATCTCTGTGTTGGCGTATAAGTTATGCAATTAGCGCGAGAAAGCAACAGGTTCTATAAACGTTTATTACATGATTCAGTAATTAGAGGTAAGCGAGATAATTAAACATTACTGGAAGTGATCAATCACTTAAATATTTGATCAATTCTTTTATTTAATGTTTTCCTATATAACAATCATTTTAATTTTTTGCGTTCTTTAGTGTATATTAATATATAATAATAATGATTATTATGTTAAATTTTAATTATAAATATTTTCAAACGAGAAAGAAAATTAAGTTAATTTTGACTGGCAAATGTTTATTATTTTAATTGAGAGTGTATGTTGCTTTGTATTTATGTTATTTATAATTAAAAATAAATTATTAATTATTTTAAAATTAATGTTTAGAATTTACATATCGTTTTCTTTATTATCAGTATAGATGTCTTTATAGAATCCACGTCGGGTATTATTTAACAATATTGTGCCATCGAAATTGTAGCGTGTAAGTTTCAGGATCCAGCGTTTCTTCGAATTGTAAAATCAAAATTTACGTTAACTCGTCATATTTGGAATATATTTCAATTTAGATATTTAGAATTTACATTGGCTACGCCTTTGCGAGTTATCTCCGTCAATGATTCGTATATTGTGAGACTTAAAGCGTGCAATGCGATCGTGTTTGTCGGTTCGCGTACTTTGATGTCGATATTCGCTTCGCCATTAATGGTAAAATTATCTTCAAAGTGAGTTATTAATTTTATGTCGTAATGAATAGGTACGGTGTTCTTTAGCAGATGAAATTGAAATTCCTCTGAATTTTCTACTACTTCATTATCTCAAAGAGGAACACCAGCGACAAGTATTAAGATTATTATCAATAAATTCCTAATGACTGCCATATTGTAATTACTTACACGATGACGTGTGCTTTCTTTAACAAAACTGTCAAATCGATCGTTTCTTTGCATAGTTGAAACTTGTTAAAGTGTATTTATATGTTGTATCGATATGCTTAGCCATGAGAAAATATCTTTAAAAAATATGTATTATTATAATTTTATAGATAATCAACTTTGTTGCTTTTTAACTATCTTTTAGAATATTTTATCATTTTCTGAGATAGTAAGAAAAAGTATATCTGGAAATGGTAATAGTAAATGGAAATGGAAATGTAAAGAAACATGATTAAAATAAAGTATTTACAAAAATTAATAGGATGGAATATACAATAATTTAAAAAAACAAAGGTAATAATTTAACAGTAATCTTACATGAGAAAAGAAAATTATTTTTTAAATAATCTTTAAATATCTTTATTTAAAAAATAATTTAATTAATAATCACTGCTATATTAATCAACTTACTATTATTTAAATAATGTATATGTTTGCATAACAATTTAAAATAGTATTTATTCTTTTATTTATTAAAAATATTGATCTATTTTTAAATATAATATAAAATATTTTGTTAAAAATACATATTTGTTATACAAATTATAATTTATATTAATAATGTAAACAGGAATTCTAAGTAAAATTTTTAGTTAATTTAATTTTGAGAAAAACATCTTTAAATAAACAAAAATATTTTTATTTAAAATAAAGTTATTAATCAATATTTTTACAAAATAAAGTCATCTTTAGATAAAATTCATATTAATAAACTTGCTTTAATAAACTTGTATGAATATCATCGATTACATTATCTTTCTTTTGCTTTTCTTTAAATTTATTTTATTATCACAAAATATTTTTGTATGCATTTATTTTGAACGAATTGGTTAAGCTTAAAAACGTCTATTGCTTTATAATTAATATTTTTCTTCTTTTATTAATTATCTACGTATAATGTTTTGCAAGTGACAACAATTTTTCCGTCTCAATACAAGACAAGATGTGATACTGTGATAATCTTTGCTTTTTATTATATAAGTACATGTGGAATTGCATTTAATACGATATAATTCTTAGTATATTGTGTACTACGATAAAGCACAATATCTCTTTCAAGATAACAATGAACAGATATAATAAAGAAATATAAACTTGATAAGTACTTTTAGTTACTCTTCGATCTTATTATAACAAAATAATAAAATGTTCATTAAAAATACATAAATAGAATAAAGATTTAATGAATAATTACAAATTTTTATCATTAATATTTGTCATATAAATTTAATCTTTTGATCTTTTAAACAAACAGAATATAATTATTTACATTTTTACAAAAAATAAATAAATAGAATATTGTACATTTTTGAAAAGTCTATACTTGTTTTATGAAAATAAATTAAAAATATGTATATGCAATTTCCATATAATTAATATTTTCTTTTATTTATTTCATGTACGTAATCTATTTATAATATCTTGATGTGTTAATAATATATGTAAGATTATATAGAATATAATAAATAATACCTGTTTTTAATTATTACATATATCATCGATTTTAATAATTAAAAATTATTTGCTTTAATTTTTTTAAACTATATATTTTAATAATTTAAAACTGTTGGAATTTTTGTACTATATTAATCTCATTTATATAATATTATTATTAACAATTATAACAATTCTTAATCAATTTTTTACAATATTATTATAGTTGTCAATAAAATAATTAAATTCATCTAGACGTAATATTTGTAGATAAGTTTAAACTTTTGTTTTTTTCTAACCATACATGAATTTTGTTCACTATTGTTTCCATCTTTTCTATATTTTGCTCACGCATTGTTATGATTTGTGGTACTTCCATTCCAAGTTTACTTAACAATGCTTTTATCTAAAAAAAGATTTTTTTAGTTATTATATTAGCATATAAAATATAAAGTATTATGCATATAAAGTTCCGTATAACACGGAAAATATATTACATCATTTTTAATTGTACATATAATTAATTAACATTATTTTTTTAAATGAAAATTTTTTATATATTATATCTTATATTTCTTTCTTTTTGTCTTCGAAAAATGTTTACCTTTTGAATTTGCTTCCTAGATATAATATTCCATGTAATATCATTTAGCAATTCAATAGGATGATCAAAACTGAAATGTTAAAAATTCAATAAGTTAATCACATAATTTTCACGTCACGAGAATATAAAATTTTAAATTTTCAAAACATTAGATATAGATCACATTACATGATTGTCAGTTTATTCCAATGATTTACGATGAAATCCATCATCATATCGACGTTTGGAAAATCTGCACTTAATACGGAGTAGATAACACGAAAAACATCGTTTTTCGCAATTGGAGAATCATCTGATATAGTCATATTTAAATATTTTTCGATAATAGTCAAGTTCTTCGAGTATCCAAGACAATATAATGTTGATTCAATCTTATTTGTGTACATGTACAGCACTTTATTCCAAATGGTTTCATTCGCTAGTTTCACGCCATTACAGAAAATCCATTTCTTTTCATAAAATGAAATTCTAAAGTAGAATTTTTAGGATTTTTTAAATATTAAAAAAGAAACGCTTCTAATATCTGTTACTTTTAAATAATATAATATTTAAAAATGATAAAAATAATTTTTGCATATCATAAATCACTTTAATATGTACTTATTATTTATTCTCTCTCTTTCTAAATAAGATATTTTATATTTACCTTTTTGCGAATGTTGAATTTTCCAAATAAGCAATTAGTTGAGTATGAGCTTCATGTAAACACGTAGGATGATCAAAACCGCATACATGATGAAGCATTTCATATCTCGTCATTTTTGTAAAATAATCATCATTTGGACGACTTTGTATACCTATAGTCCTTATAATATTGTTCATCAAGTCCAGGACATACATCTATATATTTATATAAATTTTTTAAATATATTTATAGTATAAGTTGCAATACAAAAATTAGTTTTAAAAGTATCAGTTACTATAAAAAAATAGAAATATATGCTATTTAAACGGTAATATATATTACATTTTATAAAATAAAATTTTATAAGTTTGTATTATACAATGATGAATGGGTTGGATTTAAAATAATTAAAGATTAGTTCTATTCTTAATTTTCTATGTAATGTCGAAGAAATCTTTTTTATAATATGTACAAAACTTTTATAATATAACTTACTTTAAGCAATTCACCTCCTCCATTATAAGTAAAAATATTGGTTGCAGCTTGCAAAACTTTAAATACTGAAGACCATACTGTGTAATCTGTTTCACGTCGCAAATATTTCATGATGTTCATGAAAATTCTGGGATCTAATTTATCCTCGAGCATGAGATAAATCGCGTTATTAATTATTTGCGCACGATTCAGAACATGTATCTTTGTATAATTCTCGGAATTCAAATAATCAGCAATTTTCAACCAATTCATTGTATCATAATTTACACGATAAAAACCTGCAATATAATTATTAATATAATTTAAATGTACAGATAATCTTAATTAAATAGATGTTTAAATTAATTATTTCTGCAATTTAATTAACATATGTATAAAAATAACGTAAATATAATAGATATATAATATAATAGATATATAATAGATTACTAAAATAATAGATTAGTAAAAACAAGTTTTACCAATTTGTTGAATGTTTATGATAATCCAATCTTGTGGGTCAATATCATCGATTATAAGCTCTTCAGCTTCTGGTGATAACCAGTGCGTGACTGAAGTTGACGAGAAATTTGGATTGGTACGAGTTGCAAAATTTATTGGAACCCACCATTTTTTGTTCGCAGTGTCTGTACTATTGCTATTCTTAAAAAGCATTTTTTCATTTGGTTCAAAATATTCTTGCGTAATTTTTATCTTTCCAGGAATCTCATCTCTAGTTACAGTAACAAGGGGATATCCCCTTTGTCCTGCCCAGGAGTCCAGTACTTCTTGAATTGTAAACTCATTTCGAAGTATTCCTGATTCATCAGATGCATCTTGCAAAGCGTTCCATAAATCTTCAGGCTTGGCTACATTGTATTTGCTGATAATTTATTTTTTACATAAGTGTCAAATTTAGAGAACTATTTATTTTAATTTCTACGAGAACTATAATTTTAATTTCTATGAGAAATATTTTACTAACTGTTTGTTAAGATATCTGATGAGTCCTGCATGGAATACATCATCAGAAAGATAATGTGAAAGCATCCGTAAAAGCAGAAAAGCTGAAATAATAGCAATATTTTTTTAAGAGAGTACCGAAGTTGTAATAATATCTTTTATTTTCTACTTTAATTAATCAAGTTTTTTGTTTATTAATTAAAGAAATGTAAAAAAGGATTAAAAAAGAAAAGTTACCTTTGCGATTGTCTAATGAAGAAATTATTTTTGAATTAATTTCTTTAGTGGTATTAGGCTGCCAATTAAGAGATTTTACATGATCATAACTATCAATAACAAGCAATAAATCCAGTGTCTTTGCAATTAAAAAATTCACAAATCGCCGATCTTCATATATCTAAATAAACAAAATAGTTTAAATGTATTTTACAAAGGCTCTCTGTTACACAATGGAAGAAATAAATATATCTTTAAAACAATATTGAATTGAGATGTAAGATAAAATATATTTATAAATTATATATATTTATAAATTATTTTCAATTTTTACCTTGTCAGCGATATAATATTTCAAATATTCAGCAAGTCCTCCATTTATCCATATGTCACTCCACCAGGAAGGACTGATAGCATTACCGAACCATTGATGGCTTGATTGAAGAATGATATTGTTTGTTATTACATAGAATGCGTCAGGTCGACTAGTATCTCCATTGTTCAGTATCGTATGTTCCCTGTAAATAAAAATTATAATATAACACAAAGTATATTGTATTTACTCTAAGATTTTATTTGATATATATATATTATATATATATATATATATATATATATATATAATAAATATTGTAGAATAATGATACATTGATTTAATATATTCACATTACTGTTATGTTAAAGTTCTGCTTTTTTTAAATATACATAAAAATACATAATATTATCAAAGCAAGAATATTTCTATACATGTGATATTTTATATGTAGGCAAGGTGCGTGAGTATTACAAAATAATACATGCCGCATGGAATTATAGTTGTAGTTTTCATTCAAATATCGAGTTAAAAGTTATTTATTTATTAGTTACGAATTTATAATTTATAACTATAAATTAATGCAACACTGTTTATGTACACAAGTAGATTCTTCAATTTATCTAACATGCTTACGAGATAGCATGTCGATGATATCTGAAATATCAGAATGCTTTAACTCTTCTGTACATGTATCATTATATCTCTACGCACGTGTATGGGCCACATCATGACATTACTTGTAGGTGATAAGCCCCCAACTTTCCATGGCCTTATTGGATATGTCAGGAAGCGCAACGTGATCGACTTTGGCCAGCCGAACGGAACTGTTGGTGTATCGTTCCAATTCGATCGCCGCTTTCTGGGCAATTTCATGGGCGAAACTCGCCGAGGAAATTACGTTGCCTCTGCTCCAGACGTTGATGGTTCCATCGGAATTGCTTATATTACGAAGATCGAAGATTAGGAAGCTGACTAGGTACGTTGATATGCGGGGCGATTCTTTAAAATGTGTCCACATCTTTCCGTCAGTCTCATCGACTTCCGACTCTTCGGAGATCGGCATGTTCGAAATGGCCGTGTAATTGCGATGGTGTTTGATAGCAATTTTAAAAGAGGCTTTTAACGCCGGCTCGTCCCAACAGGGAAAAGCAACGCGCGCGTAAGTTGCCATAAAATATGTCCCAGCGAACCATCTGCGAAATATCAGTTCTATTGTTAATATCTTATTAAATTTAATCTTACTAAATTTTTGTATTGTTTTTGTCAACATTTATTTATTTATGTCATTACTTTTATTATCTTCCGCGTAAATTTAAAAATTGTTGACAAGAATAATTTTATGCTTACACTGTATTTCCCGTATCACTGACATAAGAACTTCTGTAGAATCCATATGGTCTGTCGTTCAGCAGACCAGCAAATTTCAGATATAAAATATAACGTCCAATAGATAGTTCCTCATCGAAATCAAGGCTCAATAATTCGGTTAGATTGTTATGACTGTACGTAATAGGAACGTAAAAATCTAATCCATTGTTACTTTTTAAGAAAGTTGAGTCTTCATCTATTATTAATTTGTTCATATGCAACATTAAAGTCTTCGTCTTGCTCAAAATCTCAATATGAATGAATATTTCCCCCTCAAACGTAAAGTTATCTATTGTAAGATACGGATTTAACTTAAGGTCATAGAATATCGGTTTTGTGTGATTAGGAAGCCGATAATTTATCTCCTTATCATTCGAATTGGAATTTTGAATAGCAGCAACACTTGTTGCGATGATAAAGGCACAGATGTAGATAATTTTATATATCATTCTGTAAAAATATAATACTTGATTTAAGCTTTTATAGGCGTTATTGAGAAATTTTCTGTATATAAAATCTGTATATAAGAAAGAATAGTTTCCTTTGTTTATCATTATTATAAGTTCATATAAGTGCTAATATATTAATAATTATTATTTAGATTATTTACGATTTATGCAAAAAGCTTAAAGTTGAGTTGTTATCCAAAATGTTAATGTTAAATTAAAATTATCGCTACATGGGATATTATTATCCCTGTATTTGTATTATCACTGTATTTGTATTTATACTATTCTTGTTTGAAATTAATAATGATAGACAATAGTTTATTTTAATATATTGTTTAATATTATGACAGAATTTATACATACGTACCTTGTTTTTGCAGAAACGCAGTTTTGCGTTAGCAGACCAACGTGATATACCACATAATATAACAAAGATAATGTAGAAATGTGTCTCCGACATCAAAGCAGTTAACTTGATCATAGCGAATAAAGCGAATTAGGCATATTAAGCAATAGCGGCTGGTATCACGTTCAAGGCTAAATTCAACTTTACACAACAAGAATAATAGTTACCATACAGAATGAGAACAATGTTAGTTGTAAACGTCTAATTTATTAGCATAGCAAGTTAGCAAGTTAAACAAATTTGTGATTTAATATAAAATTTATATAGCTTGGAAATATAAAAATATGCAAGCAAATATGCGAACTTAAATGTCATTAAGATAATTTTTTTACAAATTATTTAATTATAAATATTAAAACGTTATTATATGTAGTGTTACAATTCCATCTGTAAATAAAAACATAAAAAAATATAAAAAAATAATGCAATCATATAAAATACATTCTAATGACTGAAGAAATTTTAAATTTAAATCTTGTAAGAAAGATAAAAAGTAAGAATTTTAGCGTTTATATATAATATAATAAAATGTTACTTACTTTCGCGATAAATTTATTATCTTAAAATCTAGTTGAATAAAATTTTTATTATTAAATAATTGTTTTTTCGTACTTACAAAATTTTATATAGCGTTGCAAAATTTCATGACAATGGTAGCGACTCTACTAATTGAGACAACTATTGCTTTCTATTTATAAGCCTCTGCTACAATTTTTAGAAATGTTTAATGTTACTAGAGAATAATCTGTTCATAGAAGCAAAGTAAATCAAATAATTTTACCAGATATAACTAATCATATAATTTATGTAAGTCTTAATATATTGCATATTAACAGAAATAATAATTAAGTAACATTTAAATCTACAAAATCTGTAAAGCTATATTTTCAAAAAATATAGATAGCATGCAATAAAGGATATTAAGAAATGTTACTTACAAAATAACTCTAAACATGGAAAATAATTAAATGCTTAATATAAAACAATTAAAAAATATATAAATATAAGAATTAATACAATTTGGTATAAGTATTTCAAATATACATTGAAAATATAAAAATGTATAAATTTAATTTGACATATTATAGTATTTAATAGAATATATTAAATAACACATTTTACATACAATATAATTATAACCAATTATTATAATAATTATAAACAATTAATTAATATGTAACATAAAATAGAACATACTTAAATAATAAATAAAAATAAAAGTACTATATAAAAACTATATACATTTTTTATATATGTACATTAATATTGTAATTATTGCATTTTAATTAACTATAATCTACTCACAGTTTTTCACAATTTATTATTTTTATTATAAATTATCAAAATGAGTTCAATATATTCGTCAGTTCAAATTTTCTCGTTTCTATCTGGCTTTGAACATCTTCGAGTTTCTCATTGAAATTATTTTTCACAAAGTCTCTTATCTAAATCATAAATTAAATTCAAACGTTTTTTTATATTGTAAAAATTGGATGTAAAATATTTCATTATAAAATATTTTCTAATCTAATCAAGAATAATTAAAATATTAAATAACATTTGTTTAGAAAAAACGTAAGAAAAAGATAAATAAATATTAAAAATATATTATATATATGTACATATATAGATTCACATTTTTCAGATATTTAAAATTTAATTCGTAATGGTTAAAAGATTTTTATATTTACTAAATTAAAAAAGAATAATTAACAAATTATAATTGTTTACCAATCATACAAATTTTTAAAAATTAGATATTTTCCAAGTAGCAAATATATATATATTTCTTTTTTATTAAAATATTAAATTATTACTATTTAATAACAATACAATAAGATTAGCAATATAATAAGATTTTATAATTACACTAAAAAATATATGAAACTTTAAATAATTAAAAATATATAATGCAGTATTATTAAACTTACATGATCAAGCCGTTCATAAGAATGCACGCTTTTAATAATACCAAATATTACACCATATTTATATGATCTATAAAAGAAGTTATAAGATTTATTAAGAGATGACAAATAAATATCTGTAATAATAATAAAATATTATTACCTTGGAACTATTTCATCTAAATTTGCTAATATATAATCAAGTACTGCATCGTTGTTTGAGTGTTTCTGAATAATGTTTGATAAAATCATTTGATAATAGTTCTTGTTTATTACATCATTCAAAGTTTCGTTTAACAAATTGACCAAAATATCAAGATTTTCGGAACAAGTTAAATATTCTAATATCAATGAAATGTCCATACTTTTGTTTTGCTTAATATATATATTCCTGAATTTATTCCAAGTAGATACGTTGGCTTCCATCATTCCATTACAGAACATCCAATCCCTTAATTCAGTTGATATTCTATACACATAATAACAAAATTAATATGTAGTTCAATATTTTAATCATTTTACAATATATTAAAATTTTATGTTATTAATTTTATTAATTTTACAATAAAATTACTTATGTGCTTCAGGATTTGTAAGAAATTCACTTAATTTAATAGTGGCTCTTTTTTTACATTCAGAGTGACCAAAATTACACGCCCATTTTAATGTATTGGCTCTCTTAAGTTGTGTAAAATCATCTTCGGCAGGATTCTCTTCATATCCTACATTTTTAATAAGTCCATCCAAAATATGAAGTACATATTGCTGTACAAATTATTTACAAAAAAATTAGTTTTATTTTGTAAATCGTGTATTTATATTAATAGACATTGATATATTCTTAAAGATTTAATTATTTAATTAATGAAATATGCTATTTTTAAATTGTTAAATAATTTGTCACTTTATCTAATCAAATGTTAAATGTATGTGTATTTTTATTAATTAAATGTAATATTGTTTACCTTAAAATTATCATTTTCTGGAAATTTGTAAAAATCTACTGTATATTCCAATAATTCAAACATAGGATATAATGCTATAAAATCTGTTTCCTGAGATAAGTATACTGCAAGATCTAAAAATATCTGTACATCGAGTTGTTTTGCCATCATAAAATGAAAAGCATCATTAATGATTTGAGCTCGATTAAGTACATGTATCTTTGCATAATTCTCTGAATTAAGATAGCTTGCAAGTTTTCGCCAATTTGAATTATCATAATTAACTCGATAGTATCCTGTTGTAAAATTAATTAACATTACAAATTGAATTATTAAACGCTTTCATCAAATTTATAAAAAAACTTTTTGAAACATTTTTTCCTCACATATACATATAGTTTAAAATAGATATATAAATGTCAAAAAATAATTATTATTTCTATTGTCTATATTATATATATTGCTAATATATTGTTAATTAAGAAAAATTATAATATTTAAACATTTTTAAATACTCTTAGTAATTTAAGGCAGATAAAAAATAACTTGTTTTATTTAATTTAAATTAATCGTATATATAAATATAAAGCATATTTACCCATTTGTTGTACATTAATTATGATCCAGTCATTTGGATCAATTCCATCAATACTTATATTTTCATCTTGTGGTCTTAACCAACGAGTAGGCAAAGTATTGGAGAAATCAGGATTTGTCTGTGTGACAAAAGACAAAGGTACCCACCACTTATCACTATCAACGTGCTCACTTTTGTTTTGTGGATAATGTTCCTGCCTTAGTATTATTTCATCGGTATCGTTATTACGAGTCACGTGTATCACGGGGTAATGTCTTTGTTTTAACCAGGTATTCATTACATCTTTCAATCTATAGTCGTCATGTGGAACATCTGATTCATCCAAAACTGCTTGTAAGGCGTTCCATAAATCGTCCGAATCTGCCGAACTAAACTGACTGCGGAACGTAAACGATAAATATAAAAGACTACATACATGTAATTTATTAAATAACAATGCAATAAGTAAACAATTAATTGGATTATATTTAATTCGTAGGTAATTCTCAAATGTAAAACGCTTAGAAAGAAAAAAGGTAACAGTCTACTTTTAAAAAAAAAATCTGTTATAACATTTATCTTAAAATATGAGAAAATCTCGGTAGTTTTATTTATAAATCTTTATGTAATTTTAACATGAGATTAGTTTATTCATCAATTTTTTATTTTTATTTTTATAAATATATTCTTATAGCAGGTGTTTCATACACCTATAAAACAAAAAAGTCTTACTTACTGTGTATGTAAATATTTAATGATACCGTTCCGAAATACTTCAGGGGTAATAATATATTGTAACATACGCAATATAGCAGGTGCTGCGATTTTAATTAATATTAAAAATATAATCACTATGTTAAAATAGTATGATATTGTCCATAAATTCATAAATATAGATGATACAATAAAAAATTAATTCTTTTTCTTATTTAAAACATGTATGCACTGCATCATCTTTTGCCTTTTTGTGATAAATTTAATAACTAAATAAACATTAAATAATTATATAAATTGTCTTTTTATCGATATTCTTTCTTGTTACTTCGTATTATCTACATTTAGAATTTTGATATGATTTATTTACACACTTTCACATTTGCACAATCTCACCTTTTCCGTAACTTGAATAAGAAAAGAGTGTAGCAATTTCTTCGGGAGTATTGACCTCATATATAACAGGTTTCACCTTCTTACCAATGTCCATATGAAGGGCTGTTTGCTGAACTTTAATAACGAAAAATTCCATTACTCGCCATTCTTTAAAAATCTAAAAGTATACAAAGTTCTAGAAAATTTTAATAAAATTAATGAGATAAAAAATTAAGATATAGTATTGGTACAATCAATGTACGCAAACAAGTTAAGGAATTTTGTTTTATATTTATTTATAATTTATGATTACTCATAATGTTTTTTTGACAAAGGTCTTTACTATACATATTTTTATTTAAAAGTTAAATATAATAATGTAATCTATCATTTCATTTTTCTGTTAATGAAGATTTTTTTCAAATGCACAAGAATAGCATAGGAATTTTATATGTATAAGGATAAATTATATATTTAACCAACCTGATCGAGGATATACTCTTCGAAAAATGTTGCTAATCCTTCGTTTAGCCATACATGAGACCACCATAACGGACTGACTATATTACCAAACCATTGATGCGCTATTTCATGTGCTGCTGTCACCGCTACTCGTAGTTTTTGGGTCATTCCATCTTCTATTTTAGAGTACTTAAAGTTGTTTTCGCTAAAAATGTTATATAATATAATATGTTTATTTGATCGTTTTTGTAAGTGTGTATAATATAATTAATGTAATTAAATATATTTATGGAAAATAAACGTGCGAAAATTGTATGGTAATTCATGATTTGTAATTACAAAAAATTAAGAGTTTGTAAGAGATTTCTTTTAATTTTTGCACAATTCCAAATATAAGTTTATTGTAATTTTGTCCTTTGAATATTTTATAACCGTTTAACAGGGAAAATGGATTTTAACGGATTATTTTGATACTCGAGCTTATTTTGAAAAGTTAAAATTTCAACATAAAAAAATAAAAATAGGCTTTTAATTAGAAGAATCTAGATTTGTTTTTCTACAATTTCAATACAATTTAAACACAAATATGTACAGGTCAATAATTTAACGGCAAACATTGTAAAGAATTCTCAGTTCACGGAAAAACAAAACTACATAAATATACATTGTTTTGCCAATCTTCTTTAAATTACGTTGCATTACACATAAATAATAAGGCCCCAATTTTCCATTGCGCCAGCTGTGAATTGCGGAACCGCTACAAGATCCATTTTTGGAACTTTATCGGTGATGTTAGTATATTCTGTCAATATCTCTTTAGCCTTTTTGGCAACATCCTGCGCAAATTTTAAATATGGAGCCAATGCTGGTCTGCACCACATGTTGAACGTTCCATTTGCACTAGGAATACTAATATAATCAGACACTACAAACGCCACGAGATATGTGGACATGACGGGAGTCCTGTCAAAGTGCGTCCACACCATGTCGTCTTCTTCATCCGATTGTTCCCGTATAGGCATATTTGACAGAGCTGTATAGTTTCGATGATGTTTTATGGAGATATTGAAAGTGGCTTTTAATGCCGGCTCGTCCCAACAAGGGAACGCTCGTCGTGCCGAAGTCGCCTCGAAATGAGTTGCGGCTAACCATCTATTACATTTCAACGCTTTCGGATAAATTCAACGGCTAATATTTAAGGTAAGCTAAGAAAAATAGTTGCGTATAACGTTAAAATTATAAAAACATGTAAAAACAATGTTTGTAAATTATTTTGAATAATAATATGTAATGTATTTTGCAATCTGGCTGTGATATATGTTTCACTTTCGAATTAAATTTTACCAGAAAGTAATTTCAATAACGGTGTTAGAATAATAAGTAAAAAATTAATAAAGTAAAATAAAATTCTAACATTCACTCACACTTTGTCACCTGCCTCGTTGGTGTAGGAGGTTCTGAAGAAACCACGCAAATTGTCATTTAAAATACCGACAAATTGTATGTTAAGGCTGTAGATTCCAGGAGGTAACTCATCTTCAAAATGGAGTGACAAAATTTGTGTATCATTGTTATAATTGTGCGCTGTCGGCGTATGGATAACGAAATCTTTGCTAATCAAAGATGTCATTGTTTCATCAATTGTCAACTCCAGTACATGTAAACTCAAGTCTCGTGTTGCACGATGAATTTCGATGATAATACGGGATTTACCATCAAAGGTAAAATTACCCTCTTCGATATATGGTATTATCTCGACGTCATAATGAACTGGTACTATGTTGTTTGGTAAACGATAATTAATCATCGTGCTCGAGTCATCTCCGTCGACAGGAAGTGCTGTTACAGCGATAAATTTTAGGCCTAGAGTCACTAATACTTTTACATATGTCATACCGATCATCCTTTTAAATATTTGTGCGAACCTTGTAAGAAAAAGAGGAATGAATTTGTAATTTACTTTAATATTTTTTTGTCACTATTTTCAAATCATATTACAAAAAACGTAATTTTTTTAAAAATAAACAGATTATTATTAAGTACGAGTGACATAAATATTATGGTTCTACTATATGTTTGTAGGTTGTAAATGAGGAAAGAAGAATGCAAAACATATTTTTGATTTATCTCTAGAACAAATAAAAGAAATATGTAAAAAATGTTAAGCATAAATTTATTTTTTATTTATATATCTGCAATATAATGATATTAATTTAATTTAATAAATCATAGATACACATAATACAACTTATTTTTTCTTAAATATATATATATATCACATACTTATATTAGATAAATTATGAAAATATAGTATGTTCAGAGAAACACAATTTATAAGATCGCTTTTATCAAGGATATCGATTATATTGAATATATCTGAAACTGAATTCATAACAATTAATGAAATGTCGGTGTAAATAATTTTTATGTTATAAACAGTCTGTCATTGTTGTTATGTGATGGATATTACCTTTTTGTTCTTTACATTTATATTTATATTGCGAATATAATTATTAAAATAAAGTCACGACGTGACAATACGTTGCAGCAGTGAAGTATATTTTACTGTTCGTTAGTAAAGTCTTTCTACTTATGATGCAAAATAGCTTTATTCCTTTATTTATAACATTTGCGAATATCTAATATTCGACTGAATGTTCAATGTCATCCATTGTTATTTGGAACGTGTCTATAATATGAATAATTTACGCGCTTGACCTGTGTCTCATGTTATGAAACAATGGTAATGAGTTATATCGCGCATTATTAATTTTTAAATACACGGAAGAGTATTAATTAAGTCTTGATTAGTATACTCAGTGTAAAAAAGTTTTGACTCTGTTATTACAATTATTTTGAAA